ACCTAGCGCACAGTACCGCATGCTAGGTGCACAGTACCAGCGCAACATTCTGGTGTGATTGGGCACTTTATCATTAAAGGAGAACTATGAGGTGAGTGCTTTTCACTCACCTCATAGTTCTAGCCGACCTGTGACAATGAGACTGTCACAGGTCGGCTCTGTAGATCGGGAAGTGAGCGAACACATACCGGTGTTTGCTCACTTCTCGATCCTGTTACGGCTCTCTGCTGTGACAGGGGAGGGACTGGATTCCCCCCTCCGATCCTCCAACGCTGACTGGCAGAACGGACGGGGAGGGGCGGGTACAGCTGGCTCTACCTCCAGATAGGCAGAGCCAGCTGTCACTCACACAGCTGGGCGGATCCAGACATAATTGTCGGGATCCGCTTCAGCTGCGGCGTCTCAGTATACCGTGAGCTGTAACTCGCGGTATACTGAGCTTAGGGTGACGGGAGGACGCTAGTTTGTGTCCTCCCGTTACCCTAAGGGGAACTATGGGGAAAAGCCTTAACCCCATAGTTCTCATTTAAAAAGCAATCCATGATTTGTAGCCCAGTGACTTTGCTTAGGCTGAGATTATGTCATTAGTCAGTAGGAACCATTTGCTTATTCACCTTTCCCTCAATGATTAGACTGCAGACTGCAGTCTAAACTAGACATTCACCAGGATTTACATGACTGTGTCATCTCTGAGCTGACATGTCAGTCCAAGAATAAATGCTGACCCTGCATGGTGTCTGAACTAAGATTGTACCATCCTTCTGGAAAGAAAATCAGATGAAGGCATTGTCTAGTGGAGTACTTTGGTCTCTAGAAAAGCTAAAAAAAGGTTACAGTTACACATTACTTAGCATGAAAATAATGGTAAAAGCCGCGCTGTGTGAATGAGACTGCAAAGTGTCAGATATAGTAGATACTGACTCCAAGGTCAGTATCTACTATATCTGACACTTTGCAGTCTCATTCACACAGCGCGGCTTTTACCATTAATTTCATACGTTATATCTGACCACACAGATTTCAGCTGCTGCTTAACTTGATTAGAGGAGTGGCGCGAGGTTTCACATTATTCACATTACTTAGCATGTATGAAGCTAACAAGAAACATATATTTTGTGCTAGGTTCATTATGAGGACTATTTTCCATGGTAGTGTGATATAACATTTGAGTTAATTCCATTTTAATTTAAGGCTTTAATGCAACAAAAAGTCCAATTAGAGTGAATATGTTTATAATATATTATATCCAATTCTGACATAAATATCATTCAATTTATTTTGTCAGTTGCTCTATTAAAAACCATAAACAAAGTTTTACTCCTGATGAAGTCTGTGCTGAAACGTGTTGAGTGGGTGGGTACACACTTACTCATTATGTAAACCTGAAAGTTCTGGTAATACAATTCCAGGGGTGAGCTTCTTGATGTGCACATTCTTTAGTGCTTGCTTTAGGCACTTGCTGATGTGAGTCTGTTTTTAATATCGTTGTGTGAATTCAGTTTTTAACAGGTTTATGCTTTGTGAAGCATGTAATTTTTTTTGCATTTATGCCCTTTGAAGAGTTTTTTTTATGGACGAAAGGAAGTGCCCGTTGGAGAAGATAATGCCATATGTCTCAAAGTGCAATCTGCTTTTGTGATAAATGCTTTTGTGATGCCATATTGGGATCTGTATGCGCATGGAGTTGTGGAGGAGTAGCAGCATATACCTGTGGAAAAATAAAGGGCATCTTGACCATTTTAATTAGTGACCCACCTTGTTTGGTGAGCACTTATAGGGTGATTGGTGGAGCATTTTTGAAACACTTTTTTATTTTTTTTCAGATTTTATGCATCATTTGCACGTTTATACAGTATATTTATTGGGACTTATTATACAGATTTGTTTACACTAATAATTTGATAGCAAAGAAAATGGAAGTTTTGCACTGATTGATATGTATTACTTTACTAATTAGTGCAGTGCACTATTCATTTATTTATCAGTAAGAAAGAAATTGACTTAAAAGTAAAATCTTTGGTCAGGTTAAATTCTAATAGAAAATAAAAGCAAAACTCTATATACTGTAGCTACTGGACAATCAAGTAACATAATTTGATATGATGCTTTTATTTACTGCCATCCTGTCTAATACAAAGTAAGGAAGCTTTTTTATGACAACAGGGTCCCCACAGGATGCAGTCCAATATAACGCAGACTGTAAAAAAGAATATCCCACCAGTAGATGGCAACACACATTAATTAACAGCAGGTCATGGTTTAGAAATGTATGTTAAAGGAATTTATGCTCTTGTATCTATAATTATTAGGAGTTAAACATACCTGAAAAAGAATCTGTAAAAGAAAATGTATTATGATTTAAACAAGCCAATTACATCAGAAGCAATCTAAACTCTTGCCGGTACTTTAAATAAAATATATAAGCAATGCAGTAATGCAGGAATATGTGCATGTAAAAATACTCTACAAATTGCTGAGTTCACCTTTTAATATAGTTGTTTACATTTTTCAGGGCATTTATATGTACCGCTTGTTGATGTTGTTATGTAAGCATTTCATGTTGTTTTGTTTAAGTGTTTGCAGTCTGTTCCGGCAATCATTTTCTGCCGATATATAAACCCAATTACTACAATGTCATATAAGCTTTAACATGTCTATATCATTTCCAAAGTTGTTTTCAACATTATTAAATTTCATCTCATTATAAAATAATATTATTATAAGTATTTATATAGCGCAAACAATTTACACAGTGCTTTACTTTCACTTGCAAACTCCATGCAGTGTTCTGGCCAGGATTCCAAACAGGGGCCCCTGTGCCATAAGGCGGAAGTGTTAACCACTAAGCCTCTGTGCTGTAATCAAAGCTAAAGGCGGTCCAACAAAATATTAGAGTGTGTGACTTTTTTTTTTAACAGGCAGTGTATAACCACAGTTTATTCATCCAAGCAAAACAAATGGCAAACGCACTCACCAACTCATAACCAGCTTTAAAGCAAGGTGCACATGGAAGGGCTGGTTATGAGATGATAAATGCGTTTGCCATTTGTTTTGCTTGACTGATTCGGTGCAGTGACACATTGGGGGTATCAGCTGCCTCTGTCATGTGCGGGGTCCCTTGTGTCCTGTGCCTTTTAAGGAGGTTGGGCTGCCCCCTGGGGAACCTGCACCCAATTTTATCTTTTGCCACATGTGCTCCAAGATGGAGACTCTCATAGGTAAGGCTTGGTTCACACCTGGGCGTTTTACAGCGCGTTCCTACGCTCTGTAAAACGCTCAACATATGAAAAACGATGATTGCCTATGGGCATGGTTCCCACCTGGGCGTTTTACAGCGCGTAGGAGTGCCCTACGCCCAAAGAAGTACAGGAGCTTCTTTGGGGCGTATTTGCCGTGCGTATCCATTGGGATACAGCCAGGTAGCCCTCAGAAACGCGTGTTTGTCAGTAAAAACGCGTGGCAGGAAACGCACGACAAACGCGCATATTCGATGCGCCTAGGTGTGAACCCTGCCTTAGAGTTAGGACCGCACTACACAGAGTGGCCTTGGCGAGGCAGTGTGGCTTTTACATATTCTGCAGAAGACATGTATCTAAAACCTCTGTTTTTAACCTTAGCGGTTAGACAGGTTTTTTTTGCATGCTGGCTGGTGAGTGCGCTGGGAAACCTTTTGCTGTTTTACAGTTCACTCATCCAGACACAGAGGTGTGCCAACAATGTTACACTGAGTTGCTCTTGCATAGCTCATTGTACAATCTGAGGAAGATAGGGAACTAGCAAGTACATTTGTCTTATTGCAGAAGAGATATAGCATGTCTCTTCCACAATAGAGTGCCTGTATGCTCCCAATTTTCTTTATTTTTCATTTTAGTTACATAGTATTTGAGGTTGAATAAAGACACATGTTTATCGGGTTTAACCAATGTAAGAGTGTGAGTGTGTAATAGTCATTAAGAGTACCTGTACACCTGTATGTCTTGTTCTACTTTACGTTTTCTGGAAGTCTTGGAAAGCTGCATCTGAGGGATATCAGGGAAGTAGAGAAGCGTACTGTCATTTCACAGACAGACAATATACTGTGGAGATTCCTACTAGTGCTATAAAGGCCATTGCATGCAGCATACAACTGTAAAAACATATATATGATGAAATGAGTGTTTCTTTTGTTTGTGTTGAATAAAGTTGATTTAAAAGAAGGTTAAAAAAAAAAGCCTTGCAGGCCTAGACTCTGCCCTCCCTCGTCTCCCTCCCTTTGCTCCCTCCTCTCCTCAGTCTGGGCGGTGTGAGAGGCCTCTTTGTGTCTGGCTGTGTGACACAGGAGCAGCAGAAGGAGGAGGAGGATTGTGTATGTGTGAGAGAGAAAGAGAAGGGAGGCGATCCTGTGCCTTCCTCATCAACACTTCTGTCTCTAGTTCCCCTCCTCCTCAGCCTTCTCACATTAGCAAAACACCCCTTGAGGTGGCTTCCCCAAGGGAAAAGAGAGAGGGGGAGTGCTGCTGCCTTGGCTGAGGGTGCCTCCTTAATGCTTCAAGCCTCTCCTTAAACCACAGGAGTAAGAGCCAGCCTTCCTTAGCCTGCGCAGGGCCTCATCTTGGGAGGATAACTCCAGGCAAGCTAGGGATACCTTGGATCTGGGACAGACAGCTGCACATCGAAGATATTGATGCTGGATGCAGATCATTTACCATCTGATCGCAGCATCCCCTCACATGGGACATCTACATTTTTAACGAATGGAGTGCAAAAAGCAACCACTTCACTGGCAGGAAGAATAATAACTCAGGAAAAAGAAACACCATCCACGGAAAGGGATGCTGGAAGAGATCCATCATTGGACACAGTGTTAGAAGGCACGGGAGGAAATTGTTAAACAGAATGACATATTCGATAAATATTCGATCTTGAAAGAAGAATCTGTATTTTGGTCAGAATACTGGGCGATCATTTTCACTTTGCCCTTTTGTGGAATTTTGGGCAGAAGAGGACAACGGCAGATCGTTTTAATTCTTACGACAGCAATGGCTTTCGGTGTTTCTAGTTCCCCCCGATGAGAGGGGAAAGATGGGTGCAGCGTTCCCCGTGTAATGCCGTGCTGTGGAAATGGTATTAACAGAACCTTGTTATAAGTACTTTTTGATGCAGTGAAGGGGTGTGAAATAATCAAGTTCCTCAGGGAGAGCAGACTCCCTTTGCCGGAATGAGCATTATCTGATGGGAGACGACAGTCTAGTCCGCTGAGGATCCTGCGCTAGAAGGGCCTCGGCCTCCCATGGATTAGAAATCAGAAACACGTTTATTGTGAAATCAGATTATAGCCGCACTAGGCTCTTTTAATTTTGTCTCCTTCCTGTGTCTTCTAGCTGTCCGATTTCTTTTGGATTACTGAGTGTTATGGCTTCAAATCAGAGTCTGGTTCTTCTGCTCCTTGGCTTCCATTCCACCCTGCTCCTGGCCACCGCCACTGGTAAGTCACTTTTCATGACACACTTCTTTTCCCGTCTGGTCAGGATATTGATCGTTATCTGGATCTTATGAACAATCCAGCTTCGTATGGAGAAAAGGGTTTAAAAATGTAATAATGAAAACCAAAATCCTTTTATTGTAACAATTGTAGGGAAAATGTGTGTTGACTTGTATGTCATTTCGAGGGCTTTTTTATTTTCAGATGAAATAGTGTAATAATTAAAATAATACATATTCATGGATATAATTCACTATTATCCTATTGTAATGAAGATAAGGAATCCGTAAGAAAGATTTAAAAATCATTTGTAAAATTTGTGAGTGACAAATGTGTAGGGGCCATTCACACTTCTGCGTTGCAGCAATGTGCGCTAAAATGCCCTATGTGCGTTGCATTGCGAGTTACACCCCAATGCACTGTACAGTAGAGTGCAGTGCACATACTGCACGTTGTGGTGCGCTGCCTTTTGAAAAAGGGTCATGCACTTTTTCGCCCATTGTGGTGGACTGGCAGCCCAATCATAATGTATGGGTTGCTCTAACGCAACACATGTTATCACGTGAAAAATACGCGTTAACGTGCACGCAACCTACCATTTTATGTTAATGGACCCTCATAAATGTGCATTTGAAAGTGACAGACCGGTAGCTTGTCTGCCTGTTAAGAGTGGAATTGTTCAGGGACATGATCGGCCAAGTCATGAAGACAGTCTATGGATTTGTCAACTCATCTGAGTCAGCAGGAATGCATCATTGTCTGTATCGGTGATGCTGTAGGCAGATTTCGTCTATGACCTAAAGATTCTATACGTAGCTATTTCTACATACATGCTGCGATATAAATGGTATAGATATGGCAATGGCGTGGCAAGGAATGCTGGATGGCTCATGTTGTCTCAGAGATCATAGACAATGTATGCAGCATGTTGCTGAAGATTGGGTGGGAGTGACAGCTAGTGGGCACCTCAATAGCCGCAGAGCGCAGGAATTGCAGACAGCTCAGATTTCTATTCTAGAGAAAGCAAAGGGTCCCGGTCTCAAAAGCCATGTCCTCCACATTTGTCACAATGTATTGAATGTTCTCTTCATTGGTATTGCCTGAAACTATGCTGATTTGTACACTGTAAGGATTCCTGTGTTTAAGAAAAATTCAATTACAATGAGGGTAACAGAGACCGCTTGATTTGATACTTAAGGGTTTTTGGTTGCTTGTTGGAGGTTCATATGCCTTGTACCTGAATTGACACTGCTGACAGTATTGTGTTTCTAGTGTGCAACCACACAATGTGGCCTTATTGTGTCATTAGCAGAGAAGGTGTGTGCTGTCCCGTCAGGCCACTTTGTATTCTCATCCTATTCTTTAGTCTTATTTGTGACTGTCAAATAGACCCAAGTTGGGATAGGGATATATTTACAACAGTTCCCTATTATAGTCACAATTTTGCTATCACATCATTTTACTTTTTTTATTAAAGGTTTAACTGGAAACAGCCATCTTGGAACATAGTGTACACTGATACAACCTGATCTTTATTAGGATACATTGATCCTGATTTATTAGAGCGTGCTTGACAGGCCATCCATTCCAGTTTTCATCGCCATGCCACAAAAATACCTCTAAAGGCATTTAAAAAAAAAAGCTGTGAATGCATTCCGGCTGGCAGTGACCATGCACATGGATATGTACTGAAGGTCCAGAACAGTTCACAATGATCCTGCAAATCCAGATCTGTGCCCACAAACCCTTGACAACTAACCCTGTGTTTTAAATGTTATCAAACGTTTAAAAGTACACTTTATGCTAGATCATTTATTTATTTGCAGTTTACGCTGATGAAATGAAAAGAAAAGAATATGGAATTATCTGGAATATAGCTATACTGTCATTTGGCTTGTGTGAATTAGAATGGTTAGTGACTCTTCTGTGGCCCGTGGGGTCAGAAAGCTATATGTTAAAAATATGTATTTGATATTTTATAAACTCTCATTGTATAAACCCTACGCCCACGTGCTTGGAACAATGCTGTCGCTGGTAGCTCGGATAAGATTTGACATGCCTCAACCCAGCTTTGGGTGCACTTTGGCTATTTTGCATTTGCTAAGGGATTACATGAAGCCTCAAGCTGGATATAAACGGCTAGAATTTAGTTGAATTTTTTTTTTCAGCACGGTAGATTTTCCAATAGTTAATAGAGTTAAACTGATGATCGATTTCGACAGCAGTGATGGACAAATCGAAGGAGCAGGATGGAATTTTTTTTTTCCGACCAAACAAAATTCTAACAGTGAGTGTGGTTTTTGTTTGGGAAATTCCATAAATTTCCAAAATTGAATGTTAAAACCAAACAAAATTTTGAATGACCAAGTCTCTGACATCATTATCGAATGTTCTCATGAGATTTTTTGTACAACCATCAATACAAAATTCCAACCATTATACCCAGCTTTAGCTGGGTCATCAGCCAGAGGCAGCCAAACAGCACAGTTTACCAATAGTGCCTTCCATATTTTGCTTATTTACAGGAGGAGGTACAGGTTACCTTTAAAATCAGTTAAAGCTGAAATTAAAGTGGCACTAAACTCAGGAGTTAAATCTTAAAAAAGCATTCAAATACCTTAACTATTAACAAAACTGAAGCTTATTTATGTGTCACTCAGCTGTAGCTCTTCAAATCATCGCTGAATTGGTGCTGACACCATCCTTCCTTCTGGAGGGTGGCTACTTTTGTTTCTCATGGTGCCTGTGTGTTGTAAAGTAGCCACCGCTTCAAGCTCACTCCTATGACGGACTACAATCCCAGTACAAGTGAGTAAATGGGTGGGCTGGAGGGTGGCTACTTTTGTTTCCCCATGGTCCCTGTGTGTGTTGTAAAGTAGTCACCGCTCCAAGCTCGCTCCCATGATGGACTACAATCTCATCGTTAGTTACTAATTTGTATAGAGATTGTAGTCCATCAGGGGAGTGGGCTTGGAGTGGTGGCTACTTTACAACACACACAGGCACCATGGGGAACACAAGTAGCCACCCTCCAGAAGGAAGGACAGTGTCAGCACCAATTCAGAGATGATTGGAGGATCTACAGCTGAGTGATACACAAATAAGATTCATTTTTGTTAATAGTTCAGGAACATGAATGCATTTTTAAGATTTAATTTCTGAGTTTAGTGCCACTTTAGTTTGACAAGGGGCTCCAGGAGCACTTGCCATAGTAGTGTTAATGTAAGCACGGCATACTTACAAATAATGGCAAACCTCCCAGTCTGGTCTCCTCCAGTGATATATATCTATATATGTATATAGAGGAGGGACCCGGCAGCATCCCCTCAGGATGAACATGTCTCTCTTTGCCAGCGTCCATCACCAAGATAGCCGCCATTAAGTGCAAGTGACGTCATTGCACACATACGTGATGACGTCACATGTGCGCGTGATGACGTACCAGCGGGGGACACTCGGCTGCCGCAGTGGGTGGCACCCAGTCTGGGGATGCCTCTGGTTACAACCACTGACGTGCTAATACTAAATGCACATTTTACTGCATTTTCTTTTAAACAGAATATAGGATAGCTTGATGACTTGATGATCTCAGCAGGCTTCTTGCTGGGAAAGATTCTAGTGGCCAGATTGTTTCTTTTTGATCATAAACTGTTGTTATAAAATAGACGCCCCTGGATGTCTATTGAGAATATGGACTTAAAATCCAAACTTAAACATGTTTCGCTGTTGGTCAGATAAGTAGTTTATCTAAAATCACATTAGGGCAAATAGAAATAACTGTATGTTTTCTGTAACATTCCTCCTGAGGCTCGGAGATCGAAGATCCTGGCAGTTCCCCTGAACTACATGTGTTTTACATTGCTTGAAGCTCATTTCTGGAATTTGGTTGCAACGTTTAGCACCTAATTTATCAAGAAGTACAGGACATTGTGATCTGGACACATGAAAGATAACTGACTTTAAAGCTTACTCACTTTAGTCTGTTGAGCTGAGTAGGTTCTACCATACTTTATTCTACACTTGATGGAATTTTAGGGTTAGGTAAGTGAAGCCACCAATAAATCATTGTACTTTCTTTATTTGTGCATAAGTTGACATAATGTTGTTCTCTCTTGTTACTAGCTGTGTCTTACCGATAATGCATCGCTGCATTAGTCCTGTGAAAATACTGCTTACAGTTTTTGAAGGCCTCTCTGAGTGAATTCTTGATGAATCAACATTAAAATGGGTTAATTATAGTTTTTACAAGCAAACAGCACTGTTGGGTAAAAAGAGGCCTGAATTACTCTAAATAGTTCTCATTACCATATGAGAAGCATTACCCAGGCCTGATTACTAAGGGAATTCTTGGTGGAATCATTATGGTAACTGTTGTTGTATGAGGAGCTTGGCAAACCTATGATTTTGTTAATCAGCAGTCTCCAGAAGACCTAATGCATGTGATGCCAGACTGATAGCATGCAGTTCAGTTATATACTTGTATACACACATTAACCCGACTCCCTTCACATTACCTGAAATTTTTTTTTCATTCTGGTAATAATAAATGTTTAGAACATAGAAGATCTTCTAAAGATAGATCTCATTTTTCTATAGTAGTTCCAGACTTTTGCATATAAATTTTGTTTTCTATATCCTCTGCCTAAATATGTTCAACAAAAATAGATTATATAATTCTTAATCGCAAACAAGGTAATTAGGAGATAAGATAAAGGTTTTAGTGCAGAATAACACTGTTGTTGGTTTTCCATAGATATCTGGACATCAGATTAAAAAGAGGGGCAACTGGGGAGAAAAGTGGGAAAGAGGGATTTGGTTCCAAATCAGGGACATTTGGGAGGTATGAGTTTAGTAGTGAGGGAAAGCTTCTTGTAGGTGTAGGCATTAAAAGCTGCGTGATAAGTGTGAATGTGTACTGACAACCCCAATTTTAAAAGAAATTAAAATTGATGGCAACAACATGTATCAAAAAAGTTGGGACAGGGCCATGTTTACCACGGTGT